CATTGTCTACAACAACAAAGTGAAGAACACTAAGCAAAATCCTAAAAGAAGTTCATCTTAATGCTGGTGATCATGTGTGCCACAATTTGCTGCTCAAACGGCACGAATTAGAAATCAAGCACTTACACTGCATTGCCGTTTCTAGCCTGCACCTAAAAACCTGCAAAGTTTTTAGTGTATGTTTGGGAGCAGTGGGTGTGTGTGGCTGAATATAAACCACAGGAAGTAAAGAAGGAATCAATACAAGGCAGTTTGGGGTGCAAAAGGTGCTTTGCTATAAAGCACCTCCCAGTGCAGTCTCCTCACGTCCCAGATCCTTAGCAAACGGCATGCAATCAAGCCTCCATTCGGAGCTGAATGCTTCTAACTTACTAATTCTAACAGACAAGATAAGGGAAAAGAAAGCCTCCGAAGCATGTAAATTCCATTGTTTTAATGTACGAGTGGCTCTCACCCTAAAGGGGAGCGCGCCAGCACGGAGGAGCTCTTGAAAGCAGAGTGAGGGTCTCCGCTCCTCCTAAGTTCACCATACTCATTCTTTATATGAGCAAAAATCTACTCCGGAAAACAATGGTTTAAAAACTTAAATAACTTGCTCCCAACTTGGAGAAGCAAATCTCTGAGAAGCAGTAGTGCTGCAAGGCCTGAAACAATAGACGCAGGAACACACCAGATGCCGACAAATAAACGCTCGGCATTTACAGAACGAGGTTAATTAGAGCAACCTTCACTTATCTGCTGGTGCTTTAGGGTAATGGATGTATTAACAAATGTTCTCAAATACTTCATACATTGTCTAAGTATGTATTTTCTAGTGAACTCAGCTTCTTGATAAATTAAAATATTTTATGCTAACCAAGAGTTTTCATTCTTTAAAAAAAAAAAAATTAGGGATCCATTCATTATGTAAGTCATAGAAAGGCCAACTTCAGAGTTGCTATCATTTGATATTTTATAGTATACTTTATGTTTATATTTTTGACCATTATGCAAACATGGAAAAAATACAATAATCCAAACATTTAAAATACAGAAGGAAAATGGTCATGCAAGGGCTTCTGAAATTTGTCTGCTACTGTGAACTATCCTTAGAATATATTCTGTCTCAAAAATACCAATATTGTTATTTTGCAATTTCCTTGTTCATGGAAGTGTTTTTCAACACCCTTAATTTTTACGCTAGCAGTCAGTACTATCTATGAAATGCCTGAACTCCTGGACGTGTGGCTGCAGTGAGCGCTACGCATCCCTCGTGCCTATCTGCAATAAATCTCAGCTAACCCAGTAGGTAATTAAGAGAGAAAGCCGGGGAGCAATTAAAAGTAATTGATATCTCACCATTCTTGTAAGGTGCTATTTTTGCTATTCTTCTTCGATGCATTCAAATAGTGCCAAGTAAAAAATAATAAAATAAAAATAATTGCTAGTGTTGAAAGTAGAAATCTGTGAGGGCCTCTGTTACTGACCAGGGCACTTTGGTGCACGGCTGTGAGGGGCCTTCTCGTAGCTCACAGGCCCTAGTCCTACCGAAAAGCAAGTAAAGGGGTTCAAAGTCCCAGTGGTGTCCGACAACAATGGCGTCAAAGGGATGAAGCACTGCGTGGGCACGGTCCAGTCACCTCCTGCTTATTTCTGTGGCTGCAGGTAGAAAGGAGGCTGCAGAGGGCTTCAGCACTTGGAGTGTTCCGTGGTATGAGGCACGGAGGTGAAGAAGCCTGCAGCGCTGAGGCCTTCATGCAGATTCCTCCTGCCTCCCTCAGCCAGCTAAAGCCCGACTGTCCGGTGTCACTCCTCTGACAAGCCAGTCACCCCAGCTGGCCTGAGTTGGCTCACCCTTTGGCTCAGTCCCCTGCCATGTTTCTCCACTCATAGCTTGCCCATTTTTAAAGGCCTGTATCAGGGGGCCGGGGAGATGGCTCAGTGGGATAAGTGCTTGCCTGGCAAACACAAGGGCCTGAGTTCAATCCCTGGTTCCGCCAAAAAAAAAAAAAAGGCCTGTATCCTAGAATTTCATTGTTCAGGAAGAATTTAGATATCATTCTAGAAATGTATTTAGGATTCGTTCTGAGACTTTCATTAGACTGTTGAGGTACTTTGGATATTTTTCCTGCCCTTACGTCATATGATTATACTGCGATTAAAGCGTGTTTGACAAATCTGTATTCTCCCAGATGTTTACAGCATCAAGCCGCTAATAGCCCATGTGACATCATACGAAGTGTCTCAATTACCTTTCTTTCATTGCTGGGACAAAATACCCAAAAACCAAAATGAAGGAAGGAAAGGTTTCTTTGCCCCGCAGTCTGTGAAGGTTGCAGGCCACACTCAGACGGCTCCAAGGCACAGGGCGCAGGCCAGCAGGTGCTAGAAGACAGTAAAACAGCAAGAGCAAAGAGTATGCAATTGTTAATTATTGAAACTGTCCTACTAATTTGATTTGAAACCGTCTCATTGCTATTTGTCTCTCAATAAAATTATGGGAAAAATAAAAAATAAAAAAAAGTGGCAGCAGTGGCAGAAGTCTCAGCCTTCCTACGCTGCGTTCAGACCACCAGCCCCAGGGCGGGTGTAGCATTCACGCCCACAACCCAGCATTGGCTCAGGAATTAATCATGAACTGTAGAAACCCACCCCAGTGACTACATGGGGCTTTGCAGGGACGAATAGACACAAGCCATAGCACTAGGGTAAGGCAAATTTAGCTGGGGAAAATTATCTCAGTACACAGGAATCATATCCAATATTGGTTTCTTACATTAATTTATTTTTTATTAGTAAATGCTAGCTATACAAAATGATCACACTTATCATGGAGAATCTGCACCTGTACATAGTAAATTCTAATTCTTTTTTTGTTCATTTGTTTGTTTGTTTCTCATTCCTCTTCCCTCCCATCAACCCTGTGTAGTGTAAATGGCACAGAGTGGCATTTCATCTGCCCTGACAGCACAGATTTGGACTGAACTTAGTTTCCTCCAAGCGCCTCTCTCGGCCTACAGATCATGCCAGGGCGTTTACTTAGCAGCGCTAATCATTTCTCCAGCAGTAATCTTTCATTTTCTCTCCTGATATAACTTCTTCTGGTAACTTGGGAAACTTAGCATATTAATGAAGCACTCTTTCCACTGAGGCAATCTTCTGTCCACGGTATCCCCACTCTGGCTGTCGTATTTGGCAGAGGCCTGACCAGGTCTGCAGTCATATGTAAACAAGTCAGAATTTTAAGGATTTAGTGAAAATCCAAATGAGGATGCTACACGGGCTTCAGCTACGCTATACACAGAGAAATGAGAAATGCTCGTTTTGTGGGACTTTCCGTGCGCGCCACCTTTAATTCCTCTGCATTTCCCTTCGACCTTCCAACAGTCTGGTTGAGGACCTTGGAACGCGCAGATAACTTCCCCACGGTCATTTTATTTCAAAGCCAGGATTGTACTTTAGGGCTGTACCCTTTGAAAACTTCTTTTTTCTATGACAGCTAACTATGTGTAGTGTACAGGTCTGGAGTCCAAAAGGCACAAAAGCCACTGAAAGTCCCAGAAAAGCAAGCACCTGGGTGAGCGCTGGGTATTTGTTCTTTGAACTGCTTTTTATTCCTGAGTGTAGGAATTCCGGACCTGCCCATGATGGTGATGATAAACGGGAGGTTTCCAGAAACTTGGTGACGAGCAAACCTGACCTCCACGAGTCTGAGACAGAGACGATTAAAAATCTCCTCCTAAATGTTAACGGAGGGATTAAAAACAAAGGAAGCCGACCTGACGTCCTGACGTACTACAGGGCACTCCTAGATGAGTCCTTTTGTACCACTGACTGTCAGAGACGCAGGGCCCCCGCCACGGTGAGACAGTTAGCTGCCTTCCTCCTCAGCGGTGCCACGGGAGAGACGACAGGCACGCTTCATCAGTCAGCTCCTGGCCTGCTTTTCTACGAACTTGACATACCCCTGTTTTCCATTCGCCCTGTCTCTTCCTACTCCGTGCTGCCTTCGCCCTCCCTCCTCCTCGGCATTTGTCGCCTCCTGTTCCCTCCCTCGCTTCTTCTGTCTTCAATTTAGTGATGTTAAATGCTTGGTGTGAAGTAATATGCAGCACCCTGAGAGTTTTCAGGAGAACAATAGAAATAAATGTACTGACGCGGCTGCGTGCGTGCTAAGGATGTCGGACCAAGACGACCGGTGCTCACAGCGCTGCAGTATGCACTTCAGCGTGGGAGGTGAAACGAGCCGGGTGAGTGAGTTAAGGTGCAAACCACAGCACACAGTACGTCTCGGGGCAGTCCACCTGTCCTTCTTTGGACCTTGATATCTGCTGCTCTCCACGCATCATCGTAAAAGTGCTGGCAAATGCAGGAAGCTCTGATGAAGTATTTTGCAAAGTAGCCTAAAGGTCTCCTCGGCTCGGAATGTTTGGAATATATCAGTGTGACAGCACAGCATTCACTTGGGTATCGGGAGCAATGTAGATAAATTAGAGCAGGACTCAATTTCTCCTCTGTTACAGGACTCAAAGCACTGCATGTATGACGACTAAGTTTTCATAGATTCCCAGCACAATAAGCAGTGCCCTTTATACACGTAATCTATAAAAACTGGTGCTCTCTGAGATAGGATTACAATACAGTGACAGCCAGACTAATGGGAACCTTCCTGCAACACAGTTTCAACTACAGACACGGCTGGGCCTCCTGCTGCCAGCCTTGGTGCCAGGTCAGCGGAGGCAGCAAATGAAGGGGACGCACAGTGACGACTGCCTTCCCAGTCCTCTGTCTGGGTGACTCACAGATGCATTCTAAAATGCTGTAAAAAGCCCCGGTGACCAGGGAGGTGAAGGAGCGCGTGTGAAGCTGGGTTGGACTTCTTTAAGCCGCACGTCTGGTTCTTCCAAACATCTACGGGGCTACACACCCATGTCTGCAGTAGCCTCTGTTCAGGGGTCCTTATTTCCCTTTTTCTTGTGCTCAGTAGTCCCCAATCTCTCGTGTTGCTTCCCACAACCCCCATGCACTCTGCCCCGCCCTTCACCCCCGTGCTCTACCCTTCACCCCGTGCTCTACCCTTCACCCCCGTGCTCTACCCTTCACCCCCGTGCTCTACCCTTCACCCCGTGCTCTACCCTTCACCCCGTGCTTTACCCTTCACCCCGTGCTTTACCCTTCACCCCGTGCCCCGCTCTTCACCCCGTGCTCTACCCTTCACCCCGTGCTTTACCCTTCACCCCGTGCCCCGCCCTTCACCCCGTGCCCCGCCCTTCACCCCGTGCTCTACCCTTCACCCCCGTGCTCTACCCTTCACCCCCGTGCTCTACCCTTCACCCCGTGCTTTACCCTTCACCCCGTGCTTTACCCTTCACCCCGTGCCCCGCTCTTCACCCCGTGCTCTACCCTTCACCCCGTGCTTTACCCTTCACCCCGTGCCCCGCCCTTCACCCCGTGCTCTACCCTTCACCCCCGTGCTCTACCCTTCACCCCGTGCCCCGCCCTTCACCCCGTGCTCTACCCTTCACCCCCGTGCCCCGCCCTTCACCCCCGTGCTCTACCCTTCACCCGCGTGCCCCGCCCTTCACCCCGTGCTCTACCCTTCACCCCGTGCTTTACCCTTCACCCCGTGCTCTACCCTTCACCCCGTGCTCTACCCTTCACCCCGTGCTCTACCCTTCACCCGCGTGCCCCGCCCTTCACCCCCGAGCCCTGCTCTCCACCCTAGGGGCCCTCAATCTTTGCTTCTGCAGCCTCCACAGCACCACGCAGCACACTCTGGAGAATCCATTGTGGCCTCTGGGAAAATAAAACCCTTTTTGCGCCATTTAATGCTTCTCTTGGGCTCCAGCTGATTTTCCTTGTTCTGCATTGTTCTTTTCAAAACTGTGTTCGGTGAGGATGGATTTTTATCTTTCTGGCTTGCTGGGTTAGGTTTTTTAGGTCAATGTTACCATAATGTTTCCCATCTCTCAGTGATCAATGTCTTTACTTCATGTAGATCAATACCTTCATTGCTAGTCACTGTTCTCTAGGTTTTGCTCCGTTTTCTAGTTGTTGCAGGTGAGAGAGTACTAGGGTTTGAATATCTTCTCCAAATCCAAGTGAAGCTGACATAATACTAAGATGTGGGTCTGTGAGAGGCGTGTATACCACGAGGGCGCTCACTCTTTACTAACTGTAAGCCTCTTTTAAGAAAAGGGGCCCCACGCAGCACCTGGTTGGCACACTACCAGTTCTTGCCACCTTCTGCCATGAGAGGACGCAGGAAGAAGGCCCTTACCAGACACCGGATGCTGCTGCCTCCACCTGGGACTTCCAGGCCTCCAGAGCTAGGAGAAATAAACTTCTACTCTTCATAAATTAGCCAGTCTCAGGCCTTTTGTTGTCACAGATAAATGGACTTGGATAGAAAGCAGATCAGCTCCTGATAGCAGGAGCTGCCTTCAGGACAAAAGAAACCCTGTGGTTGCTCCCAACAGAGCAGCCTTGCCCCCCCCCCCCACCTCAGTTCTTTAAGTGGCTGCTTCAACCAAGCAGTCAGGCTCAGGTTGCTGTGGTTCGATCCCCACAACTCCAGCCAGCCAAACCTGCCCTCCCCTACGTGCCTGGGAAGGTTCTCGCTCCAGGAAGTTTCTTCTGGGTTTGAATGTGTTTTGCTTCCAAAGAAAGCTAGAACATCCAACTACCCAAGAATTGAGTCACAGGTCAGTAGTAAAGGTGGATCTCACAGAAACAAAACAAAGCAAGATTGTAAATCAATGTAATAAATGCTGTCATGCAGATAGGAAAAATGTAGAGGAGAGTGTCCTTTCTCTTTGGCTTTGGGAGGGAAAGGCTTTAAAGAAAATTACAAAGAAAAATCATATTAGGGCAGATCATAAGTTGTGAGTTAAGAGTTTGGAATATCAGGATGGAAACTCCAGATTGTGGAAAAAGCTATCTAGGAGACAAGCCAGCCTTTGTACATGGGAGACACTGTGGGTGAGTTCTAAGATGTGTGGTAGGGTCAAACACTGGCGTGTTCTGTAAACTGATGTAACAGTTTGGACCCTGAAGCAGGGTTAAACAGATTTTTATCTTTCCAATGCAAATCAGAAAACATTGCAAGTCATGAACCAAAGGTCTGTGGTGAGATTGGTAGGTAACAAGTGAATTACTGAGTATTTACTAAGGGCTAGAGGTAAGAGATTACCATATTCTGACTGACACTTGGAGGACAGATGCTAAGAAGAGATGAACTGAGGAAACACCGAAGAGAAAGAGATCTCAGGTGGCCTGACTGGAAACAGAACATTTGAGAATGGCAAGAGGCAAGGAGGGCATTAAGGTTTCTCTGCTTGAAGGACAAGGTAGGTGGCACTGCTTTTGATCAAGGCAGACAATGCTGCCCGTATGTCAGTTGCTTCCACCCCTTCTGTCTGGCAGCATCCAAGCACCCTCTTCCCCTCAAAACTTTCACTCTAAAATGTACACAGTGAGCCAGCGAAAGGCATGAAGTTGCCCTTCCGCTCTTCCTCTTTGCTGGGGCTCCCACTCACACACATCTGCTGCCTACAGCGCAGCTTGGAACACACTTCCCACCCACTGAAGAGAAACTGTTCCCAGCAAGGACATGATACCTAAACCATCTTGAACTTTAGGATGGCTCAAGCTCTAGGCCAGGGCAGAGTACTGGCAATGGGCTGTGCACTAATTTCCATCCATTAGAATGCATCGTTTTGGGGTGCAGAAATTCTTATCTGTATCTTTTACTGTAGCATCTTCTGTGTTTCTACAAACAAGATTCTTCATTGGGCCTCACTGACCCTACTCCTGAGTCTCATATGTGTTCTTTCTTGTAAAGACCACTTTCAGCAAAAACTTCCAAATTAGTTTAGTAAAATCCCCCACCATTGAAATCAACTCATCCTCAACCTTTGATCGAAATTCCTTACTCTCCATATTTAATATCTGTGTTACTCACTTTTCTCCTCACTGAGGCAAAATACCTGATGCCTAGTTAAAGGAGTAAAGGTTTATTTACCTTACAACTTGCAGAGCTTTCAGTCCGTAATTGGCTGGGTCCAAGGCAGGATGGCTTTGCAGATGGGCATCCTGCAGGATAAACACTGCATGGTAGCAAAAGTCAGCAAAGCAAGCGAGGGAAGGTGGGGCAAGCGAGGGAAGGTGAGGGGCAAGCAAGGGAAGGTGAGGGGCAAGCGAGGGAAGGTGGGGGCAAGCGAGGGAAGGGGGGGCAAGCAAGCGAAGGTGGGGCAAGCGAGGGAAGGTGAGGGGCAAGCGAGGGAAGGTAAGGGGTAAGCGAGAGAAGGTGAGGGGCAAGCAAGGGAAGGTAAGGGGCAAGCGAGGGAAGGTGGGGGGCAAGTAAGGGAAGGTGGGGCAAGCGAGGGAAGGTGAGGGGTAAGCAAGGGAAGGTGAGGGCCAAGCGGGGGAAGGTGGGGGCAAGCGAGGGAAGGTGGGGGGCAAGCGAGGGAAGGTGGGGCAAGTGAGGAAGGTGGGGGGCAAGTGAGGGAAGGAGGGGCAAGTGAGGGAAGGTGGGGCAAGTGAAGGGAGGTGGGGGCAAGCGAGGGAAGGTGAGGGGCAAGCGAGGGAAGGAGGGGCAAGACTCTTATTGCCAGCACTATACTGTGACTTGGTCACAAACTCTAGACTCAGCTACATCCACAAAAGCTGACTACTACATGAGGCTTTGGAGGACATCTAGACCCAAACCATAACTGGATCTGTGTGCCTTGGTCTGCTGTGGATAGAAATGCTGCTAGGTTACTTCAGCTGGAATTCCCCTGGCCTGTTGTGACTTCTCAGAAGGTTTTCATCCATTGAGTCCTCCAGTGCCTGGGTTACAAGTCTCCGCTCAACCCTGAGCTGTCCAGAGTGGACCCCGGTTCTATCCTCGGGTCTCTTTCCCCTACTTCAGTAACCCTGCATGAAATGTGCCTGCACCTCTTGACCCACTACCTAGCCCTGGTTTCCTCGGATGTCTACAGTAATGCCCTGCATGTAAGAGCCCTCAGCAAACAGCTTTTAAGTTATTAATTTTAATGTAACTGTTGACTCACCATGGTAGCATCTTGCAAAATTTTACTATAATGGCACAAGCAGAGTTTTGACACTGATATAATTAAGACACAAGCATTTCATTCACTACAATGATCAGGCATGCTGCACATTTTTAGACAACCCCTTCAAATGCTGCTGTCAAATCGGGTCTAGGAGAAGCAATCACACAACACTTGAGATCTAGATGGATCCTACACACAGAAAACCTCAAAGTCCATTAACTTTTGTGCCATTTTAAGAGGACATAAATGTGACAAATGGAGGTCATGATTTAAAGGTAAAAAAAGTTTTAAAAAATTCTTACCAGTGCAGTGAGTTGTCTGTCCTACATTAAAAGTTTGGCAAATTATTCTTTTTACAATATAGATGCTTAGATTAAAATAATATTTTAAGGTATAATACTTCTTGTAAGAAGATTATTTCACATATTATAAAACTTTTGATTAAGCAACTATTGGTCCTAATCATTTTGTATAAAAATGCTACCATAGAAGTAATGTGCCTATAATTTTATTATCAAAATGGATCTCAATCCCAGTCCAAGGGAATGACAGGATATGCACAATGTATCTATCTCTATCCAATTTCACATTTCTCCATTTTAACCTCTCTCCTAATTCTCTGAATTTTAATCTCCTTTTCCAAATTAAAAAAAAATCCATGAATAGGATTAAAAATGTAATGTGATTCGATCCTCCAACCTGCCAAGCTGGCCCTGCCCTCAAGGCGTGCTGAGATAGCAATTGAGACCAGGCATGGTGGCACGTGCCCGTAATCCCAGCTCTTGGGAGGCTGTAAACAGGAGGATCACTATGAGTCTGATACAGTAGTGAGACCCTGAACACCCTGTAGACCCTTCCCTAAAATACAAAAAAAAGAGAATGTAATGTGAGTTAGAAGGAGAAAAAAGTCACCATCGTCAAGTAGCAGAGAACCACAAATGCTTTCCCTATAAAGAGAAAAAAGAAGAAAAAATGCTACAGGAATGAGAGGGTTAGGGCAAGCCAGTAATAAGAAAATGGGTATGAAAGGCCAGGAAGATAGCTCAGCGCATAAGCGCTTACTTGGCAGGCACAAGGTTCTGAGTTCTATCCTGAGTACCTCAGAAAATGGGTGTGAAATGTGAGATTAAGGAGGTTATGTGTCAAGCCTTATCCCCTTCACCTCTGTCGTTCTCAGAGGCACAAGCCTGGGCAAGGGACACCGGAGGTGGTCCCCTGCTGCCTAAGGACTAACTCCATCCACAAGCTCCCACACCTCTTCCTCTTTCACAAGCTTTCCTGGAAGCCCTCCCTGCCACCTAGAGTCAGAGATGCTCAAGTGTGTTAATCAGTAGAACACCTTCCTTCATTCCGCAGAAATGAGTGTAGAAGGGGAAAGAAATCCTTGCCCCTTGTCCACAAGTTTTGGGAAGGCAGCCCAGACATGTCCATTTCACTATTTTCAAAGCCAGCATAATTACACTTAACATGCAGTATTACAATCTGTTTATAGTAGTACCTTCCCTAATCTATATTCATGAGATTAGTCCCCTCACGATTTCTCAGAGATGAACACAATGCTACCACGGTGGAAGCTGAATAATGCAAATCATAAAATGTCGGATGGAAGCTCAGGAAAATTAAGCCTAATGGGGACAGCCTGTATGTAGAAGACCTTGTTTATAAGCACAGGGACTTGATGGCTGAAGTACAGACAGAAAGAACGTCTGCTTAAGCTGGGTCTTTGAACATGGATTATGATTCTAGGCTTCCATTTGCAGCTTGCCGGGAGGTGTGGTGCGTCCCATGAGGAG